ATAGATGTTTCACATCAAAAACGTTTGCATGAAGCGTAGAGACACTGAACAAGCTCAAGCTCTCTCTCTCTCTGCAGTAAGGATCAATTTTCCCTCCAGGGCAGGAGGGATTGAAGTAAGGTTTTCTGCCAGACAGTTATCGGACCAGTCTGCCTTGTCCAGTGCCAGAAAATGATTGTAAAGTGAGGTGCTATGATTATCGGTGATGTTTTCAAAATCGATACAAAAAGGCAGTGAGTTCAGTATCCTGGACGCAGTGTTAAAAAATGAATTATTCAGCGAGAATGTCCAAGGTGCAGAGTAGTACGGAGGTGGCGACAGACGTCGAGCAGAAGGTCGAAGGTTTGGCCGAGAGGATGCCAGCACAAAACGACCTGCAAGACTGGCAGGTGCTCGATTATATTTATCGAAAGCATTGCGATGAGATACTCCCTAAGACGCCTCACAGATCGCCAGCCAAGCGCAAGTGGCTATGGCGTTACATGCTCGCGCCATTCAATAAAGCTAAACACAAAACGAATTGCATGTATTTTGCAAACGCTGGAGTTTCAGGTTCTGAACGACAGTCAAAGCGTTGTAGACGGCAGCAGAAGGATTCGGGAGGTAAAAATCTATCGATATTAACATGTATACTTCTTGCACACTTTGCAAGGGAACCTCCTCAAAACTTGTGATGTATCGCGGGGCGGTAATTTTTATACCTTTATGATTATTTGTTATTAACTTTACTCACCAACGACATTCATTACACCATGTGCAATAGCAGTTTGAAAAGATGGAGCATCTGCTGAAACTTCACAACTGTACGATCCAGCTGCATCGATGTCTACGTTTAGAAGTGTTACTTGCGTTGAATTGCTTTGTGATTCCTAATATGCATAAAATATTTTATAAATTAACATACATAGTGAATAAAAAAGACCTGACTAAAAACAGTTTTTATAACCGTGACTCAAGTAATTAAAAGTCATATAAATTTTTCATGATAAATTCATGATTGAAATACAAATATAATTTGAGTATATGTTTACGCTTTCAAGAAACTTAATAACACAGGATATTGATTTGGAAATGTATAAAGCAGATAAATTATCCCAAAGGTATGATTTTTTTTTATATTTACCTCAATATGCATACCGCTTATTGGAAATACTTTTATTGGAGGAATTTCTCGGGGAACATATCGGTAAAATTCATGCCCAGATTTATACCATTTCACAATATAAAGTGGATCATCTTCTGTATCATATAAGCAATGCAATTGAGCATTTTCGCCCTTTTTCACAGAAATTGGTAATTGCATACGAACTTCTCTCAAACAAAGAACAAAATCTGAAATATAAACTGAAAAAAAAAGATTATTTTCTTATCTTATCTATTTTTTGCATATTCGAATCATTTGTGAGTATGAGTTATAAGGATGCTCTAGTAAACTTATAGCTCAATCACTAAAAGTCACAATATGAGATAATTATGGTGAAAACACAAAGAACTAAAAAGCCTTAGAAATGTAAATTTTTTCAGAATTTTTAAGGCTGGTTATTTTTAAGTTCGTATAGTTTCAAGACATCTCTCGTTTTCAGAGGTTCGAAGAGAGTGTTCCTATAGGGATCACAAGATTTCAGGTTTTTTTAAAAGGAGAAATAATCTTAAAATTTTATATGAATATTGTGAACGATTATAATACTTTTTTGTTCATGAAAATGTTTTTCTGGAGTCGTTATATTTTTAGTTAAAAGTTTTCAAAAATTGATGAATAAAAAAAATTTTCTAGCGGCTTCAATATAAGGAACCCAGAGTCTTTAGAGATTTCACATATTGTTTTAAAGGAGGAGTTACATGATGGAGATCACAAAATAATGTAAACGAAAAAAATATGGTTACTTGTTCATTCAGAGAAAACTATGGGTTCAGTCATTTTGTCCGAATTCAATGCCACAAACATTGATGTCTCAGAATAGTAGACATCATCTGCAAAACTGAAACTCAAATGGTTCCCTTGAAGAATGTTGGCCAGAGTTGTTGGAGAGCATTGATTTAAATTTAACAGATTTAAAATAAACGAAAATTGTCAAGATGCTACAAAAAGAATAAACAATTTTCGACAAAGCATTGGACACCATTTGTAAGAAAATATTTTTTATCTTTATGATTAATCAGACTTGTATAGATAAAAATTTATTCGGAAGCGCGGGACAAAATTATTCTATATGATATAAAGTAATTATGTAAAGTAATTTTTGAGGTACATTGAAGTCTATTCGAAGAGATTATTAAAATTCAGATAAAATACAAGTCTATAATCGTAATTTTTTTCTGAAGTTTAACCAAGCCTTACACCTTAAAGATGGCTTTTTTCGCCTATCAAATAATTTAATAGAAAGAGCCACTTCGTTAACACTAGGGTTCAATAGCCTCTGATGATATCGAATTGAACTCATAAAAATACAAATATTATCAACAAACATGTTAAAAAGTGTAAGTCCGTGCTCTGGTTTTGGCATTTTATTATAGTTAAGAGAGCACTAATTATGAGCAGTTGCTCTTTTAAGTAAATATAAATATTTATTTATACATGAAGGTTCCATTCTAGTTGTTGATTCATGCAAAAAAAATCATTCGAATAAAATTCAACAAAGTCATAATTATAAGGTAGAGAAAATATTGTTATTTTGTTTACGTATTAAATATTATTCGTAAATGTCATTGTAATTTGTTAAAAATGTTCAAAAGACTAAAGAGTAATTGGATGCTATCATTTGAGAATAAAATTTCAAATCTGAAGTAATGAAAAACTTGTTGACAGTTTTTGGAGAATTTTTTAACTGTTTAAGAAACGATAGTTTCCTTACAACGGTTTTAAATTATCAATATTGATGGAAAAAATACTCACCAAAATATAAATATCTGTACCATAAAATATTTATCTTCATTGAATACTTTTAATTTTATTGATCACCGTCATAATTAATGAAATTTAAGTGCTCATACTAAAGATGAATTTAGTGAATCGAAGCGCACTAGCATCCACTCCTTACGTATTGAATGCGCAGAATCGTCTTGAAATAACAAAAATTGAGAATTAAAATCAAATTTGTTTTCATTTTTCTCCATTATATAAAATAATATTCTAAACATGTGAAAATATGATCATTCATAATAATCTCGAAAAATATTTTTAATTCATTCAAAAATATATTCGAAATATATGATATTTATCGTTGGGTGAACCATTATCATTTGTGTATAAAATTTAATAAAATTGACAATATTTTTTAGCCATGTGACTAGGTTCGTAAAAATTGATATATTTAAAAGAATTATTATATTATTTTATTAATATTTCCAATCAATTTAATCCATTCAGTTCACATTTACTATGATTTTCTATATTATTTACATAAAATATACGCGAATACTGAATGACATACATTTCTAAGGCGAAGTATTCAAGCATTTCTAATACGTTTTACTTTTTACTCCTATATTTATAATAAAATATAGGAACTTTATATCCTCACTCTCTACGCTTGTTTGGTATTTAAGGATTTTTTTTAGAAATTTATGATTACGCAGTGAAGCTGAAAAAAGGGCTATCTTAAACTTTGCCGTTGCTGTGCAACAAAATGCCTCTCTAGTCTCTTAACTCTTATAACTTCATGAAATTTAGTTTAAGGGCTTTATATATAAATCTTGAACTCGAAATTGAGTTGGACTTATTCTCCCTTTTCCATTACTTTTTTTAAGTAAAAAGTCTATGATTTTTCATTGAGTAACCAACAGTTTATGTGAGAGGTTTTCATATATTTATCGTTTCTTGGTTTTTCTTTTACCTTGTCTAAAAAGTCGTGTTCTTTCGCATATCGTAATTATTTGAGCTATAAAGGTCAAAGTGGGACCATTTTATTATATGCTATCGGAATTTCTATCATAAAGTTCTGTTTGAGGAAGCGTATAAATTTACTCACGTCACCCAAGGTATTGCTTGTAACCATTGATGTTTCAAATAAGTGAGCAACACATTGATGCAGTAGCTCAAATTTTTCATAAAAAAAATAAATCATTTTCCAGAAAATGCAAAGAATGAAAAGACTTAATACTCCAAATATCAAATAAAATCAAAGTACAATAACGGAAACCGCTAGCGAAAGTTTTTGCATTTACGTGAAAAATTAAAATCCCGCTTCCTCTAAGCGCTTTGTGATAGGCTTCAAAATGAATCCGTTGGTATGGAACCAGCATAACTTTCAATGGAGTACGTATTGAGTCGTGGATAAGCTACTTTTGAATGATTTGTTTGTCGCAAAATCCATCAAAAACTTATTTGATGATTCATCGAATTTTTAAATAGTTATAATTTGTTTCATTTTTTTTCCAAAAGGTATTTGTTACTCCTAATTTTTTTGACGGGGCGTATTTTTCTGTGCAGTGTGTGTTTGCATAAGTTTTTAGTTAAAGATACATACAATTTGAAATTAAAAACTTTTTTTGATTTTTTGAAATGATCTTACTCTTACATGGCTGAGTGTTTTGATTTCGACCAGTTGAGCTGTGTTACCGTGGAAAATGCGTCTGAATAAACATGAAACATTTATTATTGATATTGGTATTAATACATAAAAATAGGAGCAAGTTCTTTGCCAATAAATTGGCTGCAGGTTATAATTATAAAAAGTAATGAAAAAGGAAGAAAACATCCTACTCAAAAACATATTTGAGTTTAAGCAATATATAAAACCTTAAAATAGTAAAATTTATTAAAATTGTGTGATCAGTTTTAGTTTGTGATATTTCGAAATAATATCATTTCAATATTTTAACTACGTAAAGCTGCACCTCCAAATTCCTTCACCATCTTTTAAAACTCTAGTAAGCTCTATTTAAATGCTTTAGCTTTACCTTAAATTTTCTTATAAAGCATCTTTGCATAGCGATTATCTGAATAAGGGGCCTTAAAAAGTTGAATAAACCTAAAAATTTCCAGAAAATTGATCGAAAACATGCATGGAAATTTTCGCAAAAATTTAATAGTGAACTTCAACATAAATTCACATGTGAATCTGAACATATTCTACATGGGAATCCTCGAGGAATCCACCTTTTGCTATGTGAATTTGCATGAGCTTTTTCGGTGCGAAATCTATTCACGTTGAATTATTAATTCTCTATCACTATTTTTATTGTCTGTTTAATTTGGAAGTGATGTAAATTTAATATAATATAATTAATATTTTTTTATAATTAAAAAAAAACAAAAATACAATAGATCATAAAACGCCCGAGAAATGATGATTAAATAGCAGTTACATATTTGTGTAAATAATCTGTGAAACGTTGATAATAATAAATCTTATTTATGATATTTTTATATAGCTTTCGAATAAGAATGTGTGGTAATCAAGTAATTTGAACAACAGAAACAGTGCAATTCTATTATTCAATTATATTATCAATTTTTTAAAAAAGTTTCCCTTGCCATTTATACAATTGTTTAAAATGCATTGAAATTTACCTAAACCTTTTATTTATTGTTTTATTATTTTCTTCAATAATTTTTACTATACAGCAACTGCGCCGGTGCAGTATAATTTGTATAAGTCACAGTGCGCTTGCGTTCAACTTGTATATGTGTTTATGAAGATATTCTTCCCTGCTCAACATCGAAAATTTCGAAATGGTTGTGATTTTTCGATTATTTTTGTATTTTTATATTATTCAAAATGTTAAAAGTTGTCCAAACTTGTGTATTTGTAAATGGAAAGGAGGTAAAGAATGGGTTGAGTGTACGTCACGTGGTTTGACTTATTTACCTCAAGGTGCACCAGAAGAAACACAGGTGTATAATTTATCAGGAAATCATATTTCTACATTAGAAGATAACTCGTTTTTAAAACTAGGATTGACTAATTTGCAACGATTATACATAAGTCATTCTGGAATTAAATTTATACACAATGATGCTTTTACAAATTTGCAAGGCTTAGTTGAATTAGATGTTTCGTATAATGGACTGAGTCAAGTTTCTTCAGAAGTTTACAAAAATATTGTTAATTTAGCTAGATTGAATTTAGCAGGAAACCCAATTCATTTCTTAGAAAATCATTCATTTTCAACTTTAAAACAATTAACTTTGCTCGATCTTAGTTATTGTAAGCTAATAAACATATCAACTAGTGCTTTCGAAGGACTAAATAAACTTCAGTGGCTCCGTTTGAATAATAATTTATTGACCCACATATCAAGTGAGGCTATACCAAAAACTAGTCTTCGTGGTTTAACTCTTCATGAAAATCCATGGATATGCGATTGCAGATTATTATCACTGAGAAAATTTTTGATTTCTATAAAAAAAGTTGTAGCAATGGAATTAAGACCAATTTGTAAGCAACCAAAACAACTGCAGAATAAAGTAATTTCTGATTTAGCTGAAAAAGATATGTCTTGCATACCTTCTATAAACATTAGTAAAACTATTAAAGCTTATGAGACAGATAATGTTACATTAGAATGTGAAGTTTACAGTACGCCAAGTGCGTATAAAATGTGGTTTGATAAGAACCATAAGTACAATATAAGTAACGTGGATGAATCTAAAAGGTAAGGTCTTTGTATTATTAATATTAAAAATTTATAAACCTTTTTTTGGATTAATTACAATATTATTAGAAATAGTTTAGGAGTGAATGCATGGAAAATTGAAAAAAAAATTGTTATCGAAGTTTTCAAGTTATGCATTATGCTGACTCATGTGTTAGCTTGTGCTATTATGATTGTTTTGTTCAAGAACCATGATCCGATATACACGTGCCCATTGATCTATGTGCTTGCAGACACATTCGTGCCACCCCTCCCTCTAGAGTCAGCTCTTTTTTCCCTGGACCCGTGTCAATGGTACACACGTATTTATATCGCGTATGTGCCACCAAGACTAGCCCATAAAGAACTTTTTGTTTTTCACGCCAACATGATGGAGGGAGCCCAGAGCAAGAGACCCCTCCTCATACTGTGACGAGTGCGTTACGCCGTCACAGCTCTCTCTCTCTCTCTTTCTCTCCCTCTCTCTCTCTCTCTTTCACCACATTAACGTCTTCAATGTGACATATGCTGAATTATGATGTTTTCCTTTCACGCAGCAGTAGCAGTAACGCATGTGTGTGAGTGTGTGCGTGAGCGATCAGCGCGTCGTGGTATGAACGACTTAAACTCGCGTGAGTACTTTCGGATGGCCACCCAAAATGGTGTCGCGGACCGGATCTCCACGTGTATCTTTTCTACACAGCAACGGACAGACAAAGAGGGCCAAACTGACCCAGGCAACGATAAAGTACGCGACAAATTATAGGTATAAGTACCACTTGAGTACTACACCTTCTCTAAGCGTGTGCAATCGCGATTCCAGTGTGTGATGAATGAATGTCCGCCATTGCGTTGCTGTGTGCGCTGTAATTTTTGAGGCAGAGACTTTGACACTTTATAATAATTCATTTCTTTCATTATTAATTTAATTCCTTATTTGTCTTTTCTCGTCAATTCTTTACCCTAGATTGGACCGCGACACCACTACGGATGGTGCAAAGTGCCCAGAGCACTGAGCTAGTCAGCTTTATCGTGAACCTAGGACGATATATTAGTTCCTAATTTATTCATTTAATCATTTATCCTAACGGTAACGGGATCCGTAACAATACATAGTGAGCAATTTTAATAATTGGTCAACGAGTTGGGAACGACAGAGTGACGAGTCCTTGTGATATCAAAAATACACAGATATTCACTAGTGCGAGTTTGCGGTTCGCTCGAAAATAAACTTTGCGAAATTGGCGAAAAAAACTATCAAAAAAGTGTTTTTTTTTTAATGAAATTGTACTCCTACGTCAAAACTTCGACATTCGATTCTCCAGAAAAAAATACGTAAGAAAATGTATTGTTACGATTACTTTTACTCTCAGAACAGAGTTTGAAATATATTTTATGGTCGACCGATTTTGCTTCTTTTAAGGACCACAATTTTAAACTTCAAAAATCCATATACACCATCTAAAATCTATTGTTTGAGTTCTAGTTTGAAGGAAACTTTATTTTAAACCTCAAACTTTCAGATTCCGATGAATCCTCCGAGATACAAAAAATTTTTTGAAAAAGTGGACCACCCTATTGTACATGCATCATGATCTGCAACTAGTTTTAGCAAAGGCGTTTCTAGAAACAGCGAGAAAAAAATACACATCAAAATTAAAAATTCAGCTAAATGACTTCATAAGGACTATTTTAATCCTGGATTATGCCAGTATATTTTCGTATGAGAAAAAAAATTAAATATTTTGTGTATGCCTACCTACGACTACGATTCCAGATGCTTGCGATGGGTTCAATGTTCGGGTTACCGACTTCGAATTTTTTTGACAACTCATCTCAACACCGTCATACGGATAACAATACAAACAAACAAAAATAAGAGGAATATTCACCAAGGTGATTTGTCGGGGTTGAGTTGTCGAAAGATCAGGTTTTTAAGTAAACCTTGTGACAAAGTAACGTTGGTCAACACAGAGTCCGACGGTGATCTTCCCTCCACCATATCCTGTAAAAATTTTAGTAGATAAAGAGAGATAATTAGGAGCCTAATATGAGATCGGCGTGCTCGCATATTATTTATATGTGTATTCACGTGCGTAGAGCGCAAAATTGCGATACTCGCGTAAGCGAGCGAGCGAGAGTAGATGACAGCATCATCGACGATTAAGCCGAGTGCGATCGAAGGGCCACATGTGAGCACTGGACTGATCACTCTGTGTTGGTACGTGTGAGTGAAAGGTCGTTTATCCAATCCCCGCGATTCCGATTGTGAGCTGTTCTTGGAGAAGATTTGATGGGCCTTACTCATCTGCCCGTACTATGTACAATCCGGACTTGGCTCAACTAGTCAACCATTGTGAGTATCCAACTGTAAGTCACCGTTGCTTTATTGCTATGCATTGAGGCCCTTTAAAATATAGAGGTTTGGCTCTATCTCTCTCGATCATCGTCCGCATCTTGGCCCTGTCCCTACGACTCGTCGTAGTCTACGTTATACTAGCCACGGTGGCACGAAGCCACCTGGCTTCGTTAAGAAAAGCACACAATATTCAACTGTAACGGCTATTCAGGAACTCATATTCAGTTAATATCTATTTGACTATTGTTATCGTATATTCCTGTAATTATTAATTATTCAGGAGTCACGTCCATGACTGGTGCCTTTACAATTAAAGCCTAATTGCTATTCTTTACACGATTGTATACTGATTATTAATATTCGGCAGTCCCTATATTTTTTCCGTTTACAGGTGCTTGTGGAAGTCGTCTCGAATGGACGTACCCTACTCCAGTTAGAAACCATTACATTGTTACCAAACGAGTGCATTTCCTGTACAAGTGAGCTATCGATAGCAAAAGATTCGTGAAAGCTGTGGGAAATTTAAAGGTCGGATGAGTCTAGAGAGAGTTTTTTTTGTCGGACGTGGGCAGTGTAAACTCTGCGGCCAGCGGCCTATGCGAAATCTGGTATCCCACCAGTACCGTCGTTAGACATTACTTCGGTGGGCGCCCCTATAACAGCGTTACGCTTGCATCTTCATCTGCCTAGTCCATATATTCCCCATCCACCAAGCGGTGATTAGGGGTTCAGGGGCAGTTTTCATCCTTTGATCTTCATTGTTCCATAATTGTCACCCGCCACTTGATTACCCAGTCCCATGTTCGCCACATGGCAAACAGGGGCCCGGGAGAAGGGTGGGAGGGAACCTCAGGGCCTACATTCCTCAACATCAGCCCAAGCTCAATAATCTCTCAGCGCTACATCATCTCGGTGTCAGCGCTGAGGGACAGATACCTTAATTTCACATACCATGTGTTCGTTAATCTTCCTTGAATCCGGAGCATCCCTCTAACCATTCATTATACACATCAATGTGTCAGAAAACAGCAATAATCTTCCCTCTCTGCCTCAGCCGGTGACCGAGCTAGAACTAGGAGACAAAACTTTCTTTTAATTTCATAAATACTCTTCGCTCTTTCTCGGTTTCAGGGCGTCCCTTGAAGCCATACACTAAGCACATCAAGTACTATACACTTTAACGAGCATGCCTGGCTCTTTCTTCAAGCCTCAGTTGCTTCATTACAGTGGAAGCGAATGAACTTACCGCTGTCCAGCCTAAGTGCGAGCTGAGCATGTACGCTACAACCGTTTCCGAGGTTAACGGTTGCCCAGTTGCGTTCCATAAAGATTCGCGCTCACGCGAGTCAAGAGAGAGTAAGCAAGCATCAAGATGTAGGTATTAGATGTTGCTGATTTGTGTCGTTTGTAGAACTACTCGAGCAAGCTATAAGATGGTAAACACAGCTTTGTGAATGTTTCGCGTATTGGTTTGGTATTCAATTCATCAGTTTCGGAGATTTTAGCTCAGTTAAGTTTGGAAAACGAATCGATGGAAAATGCGATTGATATTATTTGAAATCGTATCGGTGAAACATCGCGACAAAGTTTTTTGGCAAGCGGTATTAACCTTATAATAAAAATGACCGATTCTCTGTGAAGTTGAATGGCAAAAAAATTTGTTTTCTGCAAATATGAAAAACTTGTTGTTTTCGATGTCAGATTTGTCCCAAAAAAATTTTTTAAAAATTAGGGCCTTCTATGACACTTTTTCAGATCCCCAAAGTTGGCCATTTTAGCGTTTTTCCGAAATTCATGAAAAATCACAAATATTCAAATAATTCCTAGATCAGTGCAGATTGATTCAAAAGTAAAAGTGACTACGAGCTTTATTGTTGGAAATTTCCCAAATTTTCAGAAAAAAATGTTTTCCAAAGTGATTGGAGCAACTTGGGAGGTTATAGAGTGGAAAAAACTTGAAAAAAAAAACACGAAATCTAATCGAGTTCAAACCGGACTTTCATTTCCAAAACTATGTAAAAAGCTTCCTGAAGTGGTTAACTACTGCCTGATGAAGTTTTGTAACTATTGTTGTTGACAGCTCGTAGAGTGGCATTCGTAGGCGAAGCAGCTGGTGCGAATGGTCGGAATACGGTGGGTCAAATACGTTTGGCGAGCTACATGGAGTGACTTCAGCAGCATTCGTAACAGTCGCGTCAGAGTTTTTTCTGAGAGAGGTTTTCGGCACAGAAAGGCGACGACCGAGCGTTGGTGAAAGACGGAAGACGAGTTTGTCGGAGAATGGCTCGGGAAATGTTGGCATAGGTTTAGACAGCTGTGTGGGGAACTCGCCCTTGGATCAACGTGATTGTAGACTTACTGGAGAATTGCCGCTGACTAGAGATATAAGACCTGAAATCTATGGCCAACATGAGGCGCGTGCATTTGCTGGAGGCTGGGGTAGGGGAAATGGTGGTAATTTGGTTTAGTTGAACTCTGATACGTTCTATCTACGGGACGGTATTAGTAATAATTATCGTAGTAGTATCGGTAATTTAGCTTGAAATGGCAGTTTAGGTTTTAACTCGACACTAGCGATAGAGAAGAACGCGTGTGTGTTATATGAACAATGGGGCCTCGTGTTTCACGACGAAGCCAAGAGTAATCCAGAACATTTTATTATGAGATTATTGAATTACGCATGGAGGTACCAGTTATCGTTGGATGATATTTGCAGGATGTTGCCAGCGGTATTAGATAATGAATCGAACGCATGGCTCGAGCGCCAACCTCCTCCTTTAAAATTAAGAGCTTTTTTTATTATTTTAACCTTTTAGTGTTTGATCTTTTAAGATTTTGAACCTTCTAGACTGTGGTTAGCTTCCGTAAAAATGTTGTGCTTTTACGCAAGTTTGAAGTAAATAGATAGGTCTTTCTAGTTCTCAGTCTCAGTCTTTTTTTGACGTTTTTTAAAGACATGTTTGCCAACCCTACTTTTTATTTTACTAGCTCTTTTCATAGCCCAAGATTATTACAAAAACCAGCCGTTCTTAATCAATTTAATAAAATTATAATAAATAACCATCTATATAAGGGAAACCCTTTACAACAAACTTCAAAACACAAACTCAGTATTACTCCGAACTTTTTTTTAACATTTTATGAAATTACTTTCATTTACTCAACTTTTATTAAGATTTGAATGATTTTTAACCTTTTTTTAAATTTACAGATTAGAGAATTTTCAAATTATCACTAAAACAAAAGTGGTGTTAATAATTAAAATTATGTCAGTTCATCTTAACGATGGAGGAGAATATGTTTGTTACGTAGAAAATACTGCAGGAGTAACGAAAAAAATATTAACTCTAGAGGTTATTCAAGATAAGCAAGCGCATAACAAACCAGAAAATCGAATTCTCAATACCGATTTCGTTAATATTACAGCTATAGGAGCTCTTTTTGGAAGTCTATCTGCATTGGGATGTATATTTTTTTGTGTATATATATTTTCTCATTATGAAACTTTAAATTGTAAAAACTTTGTTACATTCTCTAAATTCTATGAAGATTTGATCATTAATCAGGAACAGTCAAAAATGTCCAGTCAAACGCATTCTAATGGTAATACTCATAAAAATTATGATGTTATTAGTATCTCCAAAAATTCCAACGATGGTGATCATTCTGATATGATCAACAGTAATTTAATAGCTCGTGAAATGGTTTTGAATGTTGTTTCAAAAAATGAAGCCTGTTTAGAAAATGATACTGAGTTACGAACTTATTATACTCAACCAAATTTTACAGATAAATTTTGCAGTGAAAAAAGAATATCTGTCAATAATTATCCGGATATAGGTAACAGTTCTGAAAGGTTTTCTTTTTTCTTCGATAGTGATGGGTATCCATTAAATTTTGGGTTACCAAAAATATCATCAAAAATATTCGATTCTCCAGTATTAATCAATGCACAACTTGTTAAGACACGGTATCAGAATATTTTGCCTTTTTTAAATGATTTTAAACAATTCGATTCAGAAAAAGATCACCCAGAACCACTTTTTAAAATTAAAAATGACAAATTGGACAATTTATATAAAAATAATCCACCACCGGTGTGTTCTTGTGAATTCATGCATTGTTCAATGCTTTCATGTCAAAAATCTCTTCCAAGTCTATGTATTTATGACGAAAAAAAATACGACCAACCTGAATCATATTGCGATGTGACAACATTCACTCATGTCGAATCAGATGTGTATGACGAGGCCAGAAGTTTGAAAAATACCGATGCAGGATATATAGGTGCTATCATAAATGTATAAACTCAATGATTAGAAAGCAATAAGATAATTATAAACTTCAATTTGTATTAATAAAAGTAATTTTATGCATGAAATCATGAGCACTTCAAAAATTATTTTATAAATCTATTTAATGATGTATTATGTACCTATAGAAAGACCCATTTTCCAGCCACATATCAAGCATGTTTTAGAGAAGTTCCGGCCACGGTAAGATGAAAAATGACTGTCTTTTATCTCCCCAATGACTTTACATAATAGCACCATTGTGATTATATTAGCGTTTTGTCATTTTTTTGCGCTATTTTGAGTATTTTCAGTAACATACACCGAATATAATATTGTCGTTACCGTAGAACATTGAACGAAAAAGTAATTCTACTCAATTTGTGCATCAATCTCTACTTACACCGCTAGTCCATTCTCACTTCTGCACCCGAATAGATAGAGGCTGAAAAGACTTCAAATCCACAGCGGCGGCTACAATCGTTAATGATATTTTTTCTAAATAATGATTCAGTCAAACTATGGTGGTTGGCTCTCATACGATTATCACCGACTATAATCGACGTGGGTAATGGTTTGTGGTGAAACCAAAGGTGTCACTGCGGAGAATAAATTATCTCGACGCAGAGCCTACCCTTAAAGGCCCGTTTTCCCAAGCATTGTTGAAAAGTATTATCAAAAGTGGCAGCTGCTATGTCCGATCCCTGTATGAGAAGGGGTCCAGACAAAAATGAATGGGCTATTGGGCGAAACATTTTTGAAGACACTGGCCTTTTTTTTAAATTTCGAACACGATGTGATGAGTAATTATGTCGTGAAGGAGTTAGATAAAGCTTTCGTCGACACCCAGCCTATACACGATTTCTCCTGTATTTCTCCAAGGCGATTTGTGATGTAAACTCTGTACACACTTTGATATTTCTTAATCCATTGCAACTCCATACGAGAGTCGGACAAAAAATAGCGACGCGGTACTACAAATTCTTGCTCTTTGCTTATAAACTCCACTAATCTTACTGCGACTAACGCAGCCTGCATCTCTATCGTCGTATTAGAATTTAATTAGTTATTCGACTTTATGCTATCACAAAGGCAAAATGAAAAGAATCATTTCATAAACAAAAAAGCCAGTACACCACAGTTCCGTAGTACTGTTCGCTTGCATCAGAAAAAACGTGAAATTCGGCTTCTTTTACTTGAAATTGATTTCATTAATAACAACGGTTAATCCTAAGTGAAACTATTATCAGTGAGATTTTGAGCCAATCTTTCCACAAAATCGGGTCGCTTTCACTCATAGCATCGTCCTATCCAATACCGCTTTTACAAATATTCTGAAATTTGAATCACGCTTGCATTGAGAAATGAATGAGATAGCCTAAGGGGTCAAATACCGACATCATCAAACTCAAACACTAACGCTTCATAGCTACTTTCTGACCTGTTAAGATTTCCGCAAAAATGTCCGATAAATCTACCTTGAAAACGAGTTTTTTCGACTCATTCAGCCATCTCAAACCTAAAACTTTTTCTATTTTTTGATAATTCTCTAAAACGCATTTAGAAACCAAATAGACTTATGTGGAATTATTAAGCTTCTTATTATATTAACACACTTATCATTACTATTACATTTCGATCCCGATCTCATGATTAATAATAATAATCTGTCACGCGATTTCGAGAACTTTGTCGAACGAAACACAACTTACTAAGAAATCATCGATGTACGAATTATTGATTGCACGGCTACGGGAAAACAATCAGAAAGCACCCTTGTAAGCGCCCTTGTTGTCCTGTAGGAATTTCGCGACTTTTTTACAAGAGCAAGCTAGCATTTTTATCTGGGCGAAGACTGCTTCAAATAGCAGAGCGCACAAACAAAATTCCGACGGTTCTCTCCTCCTATCTCTCCCTCGATACAAAAAACGTTGATCGTCACGATCATTCTCAATTATATTTATTCGCATAAATAGGTCTTTCATATCTCCGATGATGGTGAGTGAAAATTGATAGAAGTACATTATTACTACCACAAGCGACTTCAAATAATCGGGACCAGGTAACACAACATGTCATTCATACTTAAATTATTCGATTTTGCCACAGCGTTGAAAACTACCTGCACTCAACCTGGCTTATTGACGTATTGCACATCGAAATGAGGTACGTACCAAACACGCTTATTGACCGACGTACTAGACACTTTTTCTGCGTATACTAGTTCGAATAAAAGTTCGATCTCTTTATAATAAAGTATTCTATCTACCATCTAATATATTTTAGCAAATCCAGAATTTTTCTTCCATTTCGCGGGCCAAAATCAGTACCAAAAATTTTTTCGTGGTACGCGAGTAAGGGTCACGGGAAAGCGTTCTTTGGGGTCCTAGAAACATAAAAAAATGCGTGAACACGAAAAATTTTGATAGTGAATTTTTCTATATGCATTTTTGTGCATCGCGTATGAAAAATCATGATTTAGCATGGGGAAGGTATAACACACTTGCAAGTATCGCAAAATAAGCGTGAAAAAAATTTCAAAAACCCCATACCCAATGTATTTTTCGACGAGGAATCTAACGGTAACCTTGAATTTGACCTTCAACGTAACCTTCAAGCTCCAGTGATCTAAAAATCGATTTTTCTAAGGAGAGCCCATTTTTATGACAGATCTGAAAAGAGCAAGAAATTTTACATTAAAATTAACTTTTTGTATTTTTTCCAAAATATTTTATTGATCCACCATTTGCGAAAAATCTCTGCGGGTTGAAAACGACGAAATTTACGGATTAATTGCCAAAATCAATATGGGGCGAAATTTCTCAAAACTTCTAGCGCCTCGCGCAACAGTGTTTTTGAGCGAAATTGCTCAATTTCTAACTCGCTCTAAAAGTACCTAAACGAACCTGGAAAAATAACCAACCAGTGTGTTCGATAGGAAATTTGCTCAGCTTTCCAATGACAAGGTCCAATTTTCTGAAATTCTTCATTTTCACCCCGGAAAATGCAAGTAAACTTTCAAACTCGAATATCTCACAATGCGTCATATTTTTTGCGTTTTTTATTGTTTCAATGGAAAGCTGAGTATTTTTGATTATTTTTCTAGTTCAATTACATCGTCATTTGTACGAGTTGTGATTACGGCGAGCCGCTAGTCGCGCGTTTGAGCGGCCGGACGGCCGAGCGCCGACTATGTTTGCTCGTATCTCTCATAGAAATCATCCTCAGCTTTCCATTGAAACAATAAAAAACGCAAAAAATATGACGCATTGTGAGATATTCGAGTTTGAAAGTTTACTTGCATTTTCCGGGGTGAAAATGAAGAATTTCAGAAAATTGGACCTCGTCATCGGAAAGCTGAGAAAATTTCCTATCGAACACACTGGTTGGTTATTTTTTCAGGTTCGTTTAGGTACTTTTAGAGCGAGTTAGAAATTGAGCAATAGGGTGTCCGTTATTTCCCGACTTTTTTGTATTGCTTCTCCCCCCACCTAGATGTCTTCTATTTGATAAGACAATGAGAAAGCCGGGTTATAGAGTTCGAAAAAATGATTTTAAGGTGGCCCCCAAGCGGCTTGAAGCTTACATGTATTTTAAATGGGAAAAACTTGAAAATTTGATTCTCAGCGATAAAAATGATGAAAAAATTTGAAAAAATTCAGCAACCTATGTATTTTATGTATTTTTTGACGAGGAATCGATTGGTGACCTTGAATTTGACCTTGAACATAACCTCAAAGCTACAGCGAACCAAAAATCGTTTTTTTCACAGTGACCCCCATTTTTTATTGCAGATTCGAAAAGAGCGGAAAATTTCATGTCTGATTATGTCTTTCGATTTTTTTTCAAGGGTATTCAAAAGGCGCTGCAGATATAGATAAAGCCCTAACTAGTAAAAACTCGAAAATTGCACGCTAAAATTAGGGTTTTATTTGTATCTGTAGCATCTTTATAATGCCCTTGAAAAAAAATCAAAAGACATAATTTGACTTGAAATTTTCCGCTCTTTTCGAATCTGCAATAAAAAGTGGGGGTTACCGCAAAAAAAACGATTTTTCTCAATATTTTGTTCGCTGTAGCTTTGAGGTTATGTTCAAGGTCAAATTCAAGGTCACCAATCGATTCCTCGTCAAAAAATACATAAAATACATGGGTTGCTGAATTTTTTCAAATTTTTTCATCATTTTTATCGCTGAGAATCAAATTTTTAAGTTTTTCCCATTTAAAATACATGTAAGCTTCAAGCCGCTTGGGGGCCACCTTAAAATCATTTTTTCGAACTCTATAACCCGGCTTTCTCATTGTCTTATCAAATAGAAGACATCTAGGTGGGGGGAGAAGCAATACAAAAA